GTGCTCATCGTTTTGCCCCAAACGGTACCTTAATCCGATAAGAGATGAGGGAGAAATCAAGAGTGAAAGCTTGCAAAAGAAAAAAAAAAAAAAAAAGAAATACAAAGAGGCAGAGAGCTGCGAGAGAGAAGAAATAATAGAGAAAAAGAAAAATGAAAAAAATGTGGTCTTGTGACCACTTAAACTTCGTGGGTCCCACACATTTTTTTTTTCTTTTCTCTTTTTCTTTTTCTTTTTAATTACAGACATTACATTTGCAGTGGCAAGGAATGGTTTTCCCAAGATGATTGGGATGTGGTTAGAAGGATTAGCAACTGGTTCGGTATCAAGAACTATGAAATCAACCAAAAAGTAGAATTTATCCACTTTGATAAGAATGTCCTCAACCATGCCCCTAGGTGTTTTGACGGATCTATCGGCCATTTGAAGCACCACCGAGGTTGGCTTCAATTCATTCAACCCTAATTGGACATATACGGAGTAAGGAATCAAATTGACACTTGCACTTAAGTCAAGAAGAGCTCTATGAATTTCATGAGTTCCAATTACACAAGAAATAGTCAGAGCACCGGGATCTTTGAACTTAAGTGGAGTGTTTTGTTGAAGAATAGAGCTCACTTGCTCCGTGAGGAACACTTTTTTAGGGCTTGGTTCCTTGCTCTTCCTCTTTTATGTGCAAAGATCTTTCAAGAATTTTGCATAAGGTGGAATTTACTTAATGGCATCCAAAAGAGGAAGATTGATATTGACTTGTTTAAAAACTTCCATCATGTCATGTGTTTTCCCTTCTTGCCTCCTATGAGGCGAAGTTTCTTTTAAAGCATAAGGGAATGGAGCTTTTGGCTCACAAGACTTTGTAATTTGAGAGGATGATAGAGAAGCTTGAGAATTTTGGTTAGGAACACTTTCTTTCAAATGAGTAGGAGTAGAATTGGAAATTGGATGGGTGATAACTTTAGGTTGCACCGATTCACTATCTTCCTTTGGTAGCTCAACCCTATTGTCCACTTGCTTACCACTTCTCAAGGTGGTGATGGCTTGCGCTTGAGCTTGGGAAGAATACCCCGATGTAGGGTTTGTTTCCACACAAAATTAGGCCTTTGGATTCCTCTCGGGTTGACTAGGTAATTTCCCAATTTCTCTTGCATTCAATGCATTAGCTATGGTCCCAATTTAGGATTCAAGCTTTGATATAGATTGGGAGTGGGAACGCAACAAGTTAGTATCCTTTTCTAAGCTACCCAAAGCCATCAAAACTTTGTCTTCAAATGTGGAATTACTAGAAAGTGCTTGAGGATAATGAAAGCCAACTTGGGAATCATACATTTGAGGATGTGAGAAGTCATTCATTCTTTGATGATGAAAAGAAGAAGAAACGAACCCTTGAGAACCTCCATTTCTTTTATGAGGTGGAATGTATTTTCTTTGAAGATTTTTAGCTTGATAAGGGCTTTCATTCCACAATGGAACATATGCTTTTGAATAAAGGTGAGCAAATGTGGCATTAACTTGTTCAAAGTGTTCATTAACAATATGTCCATGGGGACAATTGACAGTAGTATGCAAAACACTTGAACATGTCATGCAAGGCTCACAAAGATGAGTTGTATGATGAAAAGGAGACACATTGGTAGCCGGTTTTTGATTCAACAAGAATTAATCAAGTTTTTGAGAAAGTGTTTTAACCTCAGCTACAATTTCCCTTGAATTTTCAAATTGACACACTGTTACACTTTCCTCCTTTTTAGTAAAACCATGGTCAAGCCGAGAAGTGTAATATTTGTGCAAAGAATTTTCACTCATTTTTTCAAAGAGGTGCCAAATGTCATCTTCATGTTTTCCAAAATTTGAACCCCCACATGAGGTATCAACTATGTCCTTTTGCATGTCGGATAGGCTTTCATAGAAGTATTGGACAACTTGCCATTTTGGAATACTATAGTGTGGACACTTTCTTAGCAAGTCATTCAATCTCTCCCAAGCCTTATGCAACAACTCTCCTTCCCTTTGAGAAAATTCTCTAATTGAAGCACACATTACATTGGTCAAACTTACGGGGTAAAATTTTTTTAAAAACTCATTTTGCAATTGTGCCCAAGATGTTATTGAATTCACCCCTAAAGTATTGAACCAATGCTTTGCTTTATTTTTAAGTGTGAAAGGGAAGATGAGTAATTTAAGAACTTCCTCCGGGACATCCATATACCTTACGGTGGAACATAGTTCAAGAAATTCATTAAGATGCCTATATGGTTCCTCTTCATCCAAGCCATAAAAGAGTAGACACATTTGAATGGTCTCAGGCTTGATTTCATATTGATTAGCCTCAAAATTAGGCAACACAATGCAAGTGGGTGCATAGTATGCATGAAGATTATAATGATCACGAAGGACCATCGGAGGAATTGGAGCTTGAACTCCGGGTTCATGTTGATTAAAAGGTAGGGTATGCATGAAACGTGGGTCTAAGTAGCCAAGATTACCCTCTAGATTTTCCATGTTAATGTCTAGAATGAATGGTATGACAAGGTCTATACAACACTACAAAATGACACACAAATCACCATAAAACAAGCAAGCACTCCTCCTTCACAACAAATCAACAATCAACAAACTTCCTCCACATACAATGTTCCCATACTCCCATGCTTTGATAACAATGCAAAGAAAAGTAAATTGTCTCCACGCGGGCTCACGATTTATCTAAGAATTTAAAAACAAGCCTCCACGCGGGCCGACGATTTAACTAAGGGATTAAGTAAGAAAGTCTCGCAAAGGTCCTTTAGCACTTCAACTCCAAATTTAAAGCTTAGCTTAGTAAATTTTTTATTTATTTTTTATTTTATTATTATTATTTTTTTTTAGCACTTTTCCTTTCTTGCTTAGCTCCTTTACTTGATGGCTCCTTTGCTTACCTCCTAACTCAATGCTCCTTGTTAAAGATGAACAAACACAATAAGTAATCTAAAGGAAAAATAAAGTAAAGACACGATCAAAAGAGTACTAATTCCTAATTGATTTCACAAATACGACATTGCCTAATCCCCGGCAACGGCGCCAAAATTTGATGGTGTTATTGGCCGTTCCTACACGCCAAATTGATGTAGTGAATGTACGGTTCAAGAAAAGCCTTTGGGGTTAAGTTTAAATTTATAAAAACCACTACCAACACTACTACTAAAGTAGCAAGGGTGAGTAGGGATCGTCCCAAGGGATTGGAGTCGTACTTGATTGTGGAATTACAATTAAGGTTAGTATGTCGAGTGATCAAACAAAGGGGTGATTGGTTAATTAAACTAGAGAGCAACTAAATTAAACCAAGCAATTGAATGTAACAAAAAGTAAGTAAGAAAAAGAGAAATCTTGGGGTTTAAAGGTCACCACCAAGCAATGTTTTTCTACACTTCTAACTAGTGACTAATGAGGGTAATGTGTGTTGCAATAATTGTGTGTGTGTGTGCTTGGTTGATTCAATTAGCAAAGGTGACCAATTAAGCATACATTGTCTAATCAACATGTGAAAAGCACAATATATCTAGCAATTAAGTATATATTGTTTAAATAGCATGTGAAAAGCACAACATATCTAGCAAGTCATTAATCCTTTCATTAAGTTCACAAGCCAAATACACTACAAAGTTAGAAACATATGCTACTTACATTCAAAAGTATGGAATATCAAACAACTAGCATGGATTGTCCTCTCATCTAATAATTATGCTATCACTACACTATAATTAAACTAATGACATGAAATTAAACTAACTAAGCTAAGGGAGAGGTATAATCCATCAAGAAATGAGCATGGACCATCTAGAAAATCACAAGAGCATTCTTTTAAGCACAATGTTTTGATAATCTCCAAATCTATAGCATTAATACACATAGACATGCATCAATTACACAAGAAATAGAGGCAAACACATGAACATCTATTCTAGCATACATAGACATATGGATAGAATGAAATGATTGATTGGAAGCATTAAACCTTATAAATCATTGAATAAACAAGATCTATATGTATAAAAGTGTTAAAACATTAATTACAACACTAATCCCTCAATAATGCACAAGATTAATATATAGAAAGCATGCTTGGGGCTAACTCTAGCCCCAAGAGGATGTCTAGCCACTCATGGTGATGATGCTCCAACCCTCAAGGGCTAATTCCATGGTTGAAATCTGCTCCTTGTTGATGAAGAGTCTCCAATGGTGTCTCTAGCCTCCTCCTCCTCTAAGCTTCCTCTCCAAGAGATGATATGAAAATAATGTTGGCCCTCCCATGTAAAAAGCAATCCTTATCCTTACATAGGTAGGTCAAAATGACACCCAAAATGAACTGGGGTCATGCACACAATATTCCTTAATGATTGGATAAAGGACAACTTTCAATGAGATGGAATTTTAACTTTTTCGCACTGGAGGAAGTTTGATCGATCAAACCTTGGTCTTGGATCGATCGAACTGGCTGAAATCTATCGAACTTAGGCTGGATCGATCCAACTGGTTGAGCTTTTTGGGAAAAGACAAATCCGAGATATTTTGGGAGATATTTATGGGAAAAGGACAAAAGTGGTTAATGGGTGGTACAGCTGTGGATATGATCAATCATTTGAATAAGGACAAAAGTGTTCTATTGATCCAAGGATGGTGTTGGATCGATCAAACTTTTGGACTTTACGCTTTTGGATCTAGACTTGGATCTATTTTGAAGTGCTGAGATCGATTATTGTTCGATCGATCGAACCTTGAACTTGGATCAATCGAACTTTGCTGCTTCCCACTTTTGGCTTCATTTGCTTCTTTTTTTCTCCACTTTGCTCTTTTCTTTGTTCAATCCTAGAATTGCTTCAATTAAGCTCTTATTTGGCTGAGTTAGCTTATTTTCGGGATAAGTGCCTGAAAATAGAAATAATACGAAATCAACCTAAAATGGTAAAGTAAGATAGATAAATGTACTAGAATGCCTAAGCTTAAGGGGTTTAAATACGCACTTTTTAGCGCTCATCACTAGCGCTACTGCCGTGGTCAATCAGTACTCGTCTGACCAGACAGTTGGCCACTAGTAGACTAACTACTAATGGGTCTTCGTACGGGTGTTGCACCCTTCTGAGGTCCCCTTTATGAAAAGAAACTTGTGCTGGATTGGGTTTGCAGTCGACGGTATTGATTTCCCCAATCTTTCGTAACTTATGGGCTTGTTTGAGCTGGATCCTGTAGGAATTTCCCGATTGCTTGTCTTCTTCCGGACGGCCATGAATTGTGTTAATTACCAGGACATGATGGCTCTCTACCGCGGCTTTTGGAATTGCCCGGGCTCGATCTTGCTGCCTTTGCTGCCCTAGGGTAATCAAGTATTCAGTTAACTTGCCCTTGGCTATTAACGCTTCCACCTGTCTTCTCAAGCTCCTACAATCATTGGTCAGGTGGCCGAAATCACTGTGGAATGCACAGTGTTTATTTTGGTCTCTTTGCTCCATTGGCTGTCTGATTGGTAGTGGGATCTGGAAGATGTTTCTTGCCTTGGTCTCTTGGTACAGTATGGCCAGTGTTACTTTGAGAGGCGTAACCTTTTCAGTTGTTCGGGATTTCTTTTCAGGGGCTCGTCCCTCAATAGTTGGGGGTTCCCGATCGGCCCGCGGGGTGCTCGATCACTCCTTCGGTTGATTCTTTACTGTAACCAGTGTCGCTCTCTGCTGTCTAGTTACTTTATTTTCTTCAAGTCTGATGTAGTTTTATGCTCATGAATTCAGCTCCGACATGTTAGTTGGGGTCTTCTTCACCAGAGAAGAATGAAAACGTGAGCCCTGCACCATGGCTATCTTGAACACTTCTATGGCTGTGTTTGGATTACAATCTAGTATGCCCGAAGACTCCATGTTGAATCGGGTGAGGAAGGTTTGCAGGCCTTCTCCCTTCATCTGCCGAATCGTAAAGAGACTGGCAATGGTTTTCTTCTGTTTTTTATTTCCACAATACTGGGCCAAGAGCGCTACGCATAGTGATTCGAAGTTTGGGATCGATTTGCACGGGCGATTCTTGAACCACTCTAGGGCCACCCCCGTCAGGCTAGATGGAAATATCTTGCACATGAATAGATCATTGTGAGCTTCTAGTGTCATTTCCTGAGTATAGTGGTTGAGGTGTTGGAGGGAATCTCTAGTCCCATTGAATTTGATGAACTTGGGCATCGTGAACTTCTTGGGTCTTGTGACCCATTCTATCTCATCTATGAAAGGGGTTTTTATTATTGATGCAGTAAATTCTCTCGCCATGTCTTCGGGCAATTGGGCCTTTAGCCCTTTGATTCATTCGTCCATTTCTTTCCGGAGCCTGGCGATAAAGTCGTTCCCAAAGATGGCTGACCAGCTGCTGGGGTCCATATTTCTTTTCTACCTGAATCCGCGTTATCTGATGGATGGGCTTTGGTGATTCGAGGCCCCCCAATATTGGAGTTCCCCAAGGTGCGCAACTGACTTGCGGCATCGTGGATGTCCTCCAGCGTTTCATTGGGCTATTGGCATGGAGCCTTCTGTTGGTAGGGTGGATTATCATCGCCTGGCTTCATGAGGGGATCTTCGTTCTAACGTTTGGGCCAAGGGTCTTTCGGCTGTTCATTCCGCCGAGCGTTGCCTCAGAGTCTTTCGTTTTCTCTGTGTAGAGTGCTGATTTGTGCCACGTTGGTTTCTTGAGCCTGCTTTAGCATATTGATTTGCTCAGCGCTGGCTTTATTTGCTTGTCGCAGGACGTCCAGTTGCGCTTGCATCTCTTCGCGTATCTTCTGCATGGTCTCCTGTTGTTGCGGTTGAACAGTGTCTGGCTCTGTTGCCATTCTGGAGTGATGCTGTATGCAAGGGATAGGGAACGGACTTTTTGTATCGAAGTTCTCACAGATGGCGCCAAAGTGTGGGTGCAATTTTTTACACCCGAACACCTAAAGGGATCGACTACGGAAAACACACAGAAAAAATTAAGAAAAGAGCAAGTAAATCTTTGAGATAGTAATAGTATTCAGAGTCTCATGCCTTTTACCTTTGTTCAGGCTTTACTTATAAGTGTTTTTTAGCTTAGGAATTTATATGGAGCCGTTTCTTGGCTTTTATTCCAAAATGTAGGTAATTTATGCCTACAGATCGTGCATTTGACATTATTGCGGGCGTTATGGAGTTTGGGCCTTGTCAGAATTGGGCTTGTTTATTCTGCCTCTGTTTTAAATAGGCCTTCCTTCGCTGGGCTTATGTTTCATTATGGGTTTTCAGTTTTTTTAGCCTTTTTGCGGGCTGTCTTTTGTCACCATGTGTTGTTTTGCGATTTGTGTGATTTTTTTTCCCTCCACACATACTATTCTACAATTTCGTATAATAATATGGAACATTTGGTAAATTTGAAGGTGGTGAAATCAAGTGTTGCTACACTCCTATTCATGGAATTCTTCATTCGATTCTAATATGTTCCCTATTTGTGACTGCCTTGTAGTTGAAAGTTTCTATAAGTTCATCTCTATGTCTCTCTAAAAATTATTTATTACAAAATAAATTTGGCCACAATTGATGTCTTTAGGAGATGAATGAGTCCAAATACCTTCGACAAAAGCACATATGTCAAACAGACTTGAAAAAGTAAAAAAAAAAGTTAGTTGTTACTTATTGTCTTGAACTCAATAAAGCTATAAACAAATTGGAATCATTGAAATATTACATAGCCTTGATAAAATTACCCAATCTGACAAATTTGTTAATTGCATAAAAATTACGTGAAATTGAATACAATAAAGGTACTGAATGTGATAGGGTACTACCTTTATAATATATAAAATGTATAATTAATCTCCTATTGTTCAAAAAATTTCCTTACATTTTACAATTTGTGCAGATAAGGACATTAGGTCAATTTAGCCATTGAAATGTCTAAAATACCCAAATAACAAAATTTTAAAAGTATATAATAATAAAAATCAAAATTTCTCTCTCTCTCTCCCTCTCTCTTTTTTTTTTTTTTTTGAAAGGTCTCTCTTTCCGGCCACTTTCATAATTTTATTAGTACTTGGAAAATAAGTTTGTGGTTTGTTTTTATTACTAGACTATTAAACATGCACTCTGGTGTAGAGTAAAGTCACCAATGTTTGATGTTAATAAAGACGGTCTGCATTTCAATTATTCAATTTATTAAATAATATAAATTGGTTGGGATGTTCCATATATTTTAAATTTGTTTTAATTTATAATTGATTTAACTTACTGCATAAACTAATTAAAATTATCGTGTTTATTTTACCGTATTCTGTTAAGAGTAAGACACGGGTTATTCATTTGGCATTTCTTTTCCTAATCACAAATTTATTTGAAGTTGGACCTGGTTACAATTTTCTGAAACCAAAGTCCATGTTTTTGTAATATGGGTTCTGCTAACGCCAGTGGTTTGTAATTTGAGTCCAACATTATTACTTTTATATGTATGTAATTTTTCTTATATTTTGAATACCTTGACAAAAAGAATGACTTATGAGGTAGATTGTATCTTGAAATAGTGAGGAAATTTCTTGATGTAGGAAATTTATATGAAGTTTCCTAATGTGTGAGTGCTTGGAACAAGCTGCCTCTTTAGCCGAAAGATATATTGTCCTGTTAACTTGACTGGGAAAGTTAATAATTTGCAGATTCATTACCCAAACACCATCGATCGATCGAGAAAGATTTGCAAATATAAATTGGGTGTTTGAATGTCTCAATTTGCAGATCCAAAGGCCAAACATCATCGATCGATGGAGAGAGATTTGCAAATATAAATTGGGTGTTTGAATGTCTCAATTAGCAGATCCAAAGGCCAAACATCATCGATCGATCGATAGAGATTTGCAAATATAAATTGGGTGTTTGAATGTCTCAATTCGCAGATAAAGGCCAAACACTGAAGTGAGTTAGAGAGACTTGAGTGTGGTATCATAGTGTTGGTAATAGACGTCCGTTCCTGTTCCAGGAGGCGAATACGAAGTGTTTTTGAGTTTTAGAGGGCCAGACACTCGCCGCACGTTCACAGATTTTCTATATACCTGTCTCAATGACGCAGGTGTTCGCACCTTTCGGGATGACAATGAGCTTCGCAAAGGAGAAGAGATCGGCCCTGAGCTCCTCGAAGCAATCAGGGAGTCCAGTATCTCCATCCCGATCTTCTCCAACAACTATGCTTCCAGTAAATGGTGCCTCCGTGAGCTTCTACGATGTTGAACCATCCGATGTTAGGCATCGATCTGGGAGTTACGAGGAAGCCTTTCGCGAGCACGAGAGGTGTTTTGATGAATGCACTGTTATGAAATGGAAAGAGGCACTCAAACAGGTTGGAGAACTCAAGGGTTGGCATGTCAACAAAGAAGCTGATCAACCATTTTAATACTATCAAATTAGAGGGACAAACACAAAATTATAAGAAGAAAAACAACATGATAAATGTTGGTTTCATGAGTCAACTACTCGTCCCTAAGGTAGAACACATCAATCATTATTTTAGCTACTTGTTTATGTCTCGGTCACTAATTATTTTTCATTTTCATCATGACATTAATCAGGCATCAAGGGGAATTAGTAAAAACGATTGTTCAAAGAGTGTCGTTGAACCTGAAGAAAAAATGCATGTTTACAAGTGACTACTTAGTTATGATGGATGGTCATCTGAATGAAATGATGAGATTATTAAATGTTGGTTCAAATGATGTAAGGATTGTTGGTATGGCATGGGTGGTATTGGCAAGACAACTATTGCCAAGTCCATCTACAACAAGCTCCTCCAAGACTTTAAAAATTGTTGTAGCTTCCTTGCAGATGTTCGGGAAATTGTCAAACAATACAAAGATAAAGGTATTTGTGATTTGCAGAACCAGCTTCTCAATGACTCTCTTAAACCGCACCCTCGCATTACTAATGTTAACGATGGAATCGACGCTATCAGACATCGATTTCTCAATAAGAAAGTTTTCATTGTTCTTGACGATGTGGATGAAAAGTCTCAATTTGATTGGCTTGTTGGAAATCGTGATTGGTTTGGTCCAGGAACTAGGACCATAGTTACAACTAGAAACAAGCATGTTTTAAATGTTCTTGAAGTGGATGAGACTTACGAACCTCCATTTATGAACCCAGACCAATCTCTTCAACTTCTCAACATTCATGCTTTTCAGAAAAAGTTTCCTCCAATGGACTTTGATAGTATCTCTAGAGAGGTGGTATCAGTTACTGCAGGGCTTCCTCTAGCTCTTGAGGTTATAGGTTCATTTCTATCTCACAAGCCAATAACAGTATGGGAAGATACATCGAAGAAGTTGAAGAAAATACCAAATCATGAAGTTCAGGAACAATTGAGAGTAAGTTATGACGTATTAACCCATGAGCAAAAACAGATATTTCTTGATATTGCATGTCTTTTTATTGGGATGGATAAAACATATCCATTTTACATGTAGGATGACTGCGGTTATTTTCCGGAGACAGAAATTAATGTCCTTTGTCTCATGTCTATGGTAAAACTTGAAAATGATAAAATATTGAGAATGCATGATCAACTAAGAGATCTTGGTAGAGAAATCGTCCGTCAAGAAGATCTTGAGAATCCAGAAGGCGCAACAGGTTGTGGGATCGACAAGAAGCCTCGGCTGTATTTGAGGAATGCATGGTAAAAATTTACAGCGCTAAATTTTTTGCATTGATTAATGTTTTCTTAAGTCTCTTTCATGTCATTTCATGATACACATGCTCTAAATAATATTCATGGTAGCAACCACATAGGTTCCAATTATGGAGCTAAGTTGTTGACCAACCTAAATTTGCCAACATCATCTATGATGGGCTTCGACAACTGTCAGCTTGGATTTAAATTGATAATGGAACTCAATTTAAGTTTTTTAGAGTTGTGAGGTGAGTATTTATCTAATAAAAATTTTAAAAAAAATAAAAAAAGTCAAAAGTTTTAACTCATCTCAGACGACCGAAACTATCATTTTCTTTTTTGGGGGTTAAGAAAAGAATTTTAAATGTTCTTGTTACTAGCTAGTACATTACAATGGAAAGTAGGCATGTTGTACATTTAGATTGGTGTAGCATTTGTAATTAAGTTGTAGGCTTCAATGTTATGCACGATCTTTCAATTACTTCAAGTTATTTAGAGTTGTTATAAATGAAAAAAAGAATAAAAATAAAAAAATGAAGAAGAATTTGAAGAAGAAGAAAAAGAAAAAAAAGGAGTTCTGAATGTTTGAATCAACCAACTTGAATCTAACCCAATCTTAACTCAAAAAAATGACCTTTTTTTTTTTTTTTTTCAAGATTAAAATAACTAAACTTTAATTGCTTCATTTTTAATTTTTAATTTTTTTTTTATATATAAAAGCAAAAATTATCTGTAAACACCAATAACTGTTTCTGAGAAGTCATTAAAAATAGGTATTTTTTTTAAAAAATAAGAATAATAATTGATATCTAATATTAATAATTCCGTTTTTTGGCACGGGGCAAATAGTTTCTTTTATTTGTTTACTTTTTTTCATGGTTTTTACATTGATAGGTAACTGAAAAGGTCCAACTCCTAAATCTTAATATTGCTGAAAAAACGTGTGAGCATGACAAATTCGCGGAACGATCTAAACTGCGGTATCTCCAAATAAATGAAGCTGAAGTTGTTGTTGGGGATTTCAAGCATCGCTTGTTAAACTTAAGATGGCTTTGTTGGCAATATTACCCACTGCACTTTGAAGCAACCAATTTTCATATGAAGAAACTAGTCATACTTGATCTAAGCGGTAGTATGATCCCAGAGAACTGGAAGGGTTGGAGTCAAATTAAGGTATATACTACATACATTTTAAAATCTCAAACTCTCATAATCTCAATTCATTTCTCGTCTCCCATTACATACATACATACATACATATTGGAGCATGTATGATTGTTTCTATATTTTTATGTATCTTGTAAACAGATGGCAAATAACTTAAAAGTGCTTGACATTTCGGACACTGAAATACGGGAGCTACCTGATGAAATTAGGATGTTAAAGAAGCTGGAAATTATAGATGCACGTGGTTCTGATTTGAGAGGTAACATTCCAAGTTGCATTGGGAGATTATGATGTTTGAGATACTTAAGCAGCTTTTATTCTACAAGAATTCGAAGCCTACCAACAAGCATTCATACCCTTGACTTAAGAGACTGCTTTAATCTCGAAGCACTGCCAGAGCTTCCCTCGAGTTTACAAGTTCTGCTGTAGAGTTGCGGAGTTTTCATGTTACCCCTAATCTTGCAAATCTGGTTAATCTACAAGTCCTGCGGTGTTATCAGATTCCTGACTACATGAATCAGATAATTTTCAGTGATATTGTTAAATTATCCAAATTGCAGAGGTTGGACTTTGGATGTAGCAACAAGAAAGGGATTGATGCCCTTTCTCAGCTCAAATTCCTCAATCAACGCGAAGGACTTCAATGTATATTGGGTATACCTCCCAATGTGGTTGTTGGTGGTCTGTCATTGAAAAGACTACCAAATCTGTCAAATCTGAAGCTCTTGTCGGAATTGCAGCTTTCTGGGTGCGATAAGCTGACAAAGATTCAAGGGCTTGGGAAACTACAATTATTGACGAGTTTGAGAATAGAATATTGCTTTAAACTGACAAAGATTGAATTACTTGGAAATCTAGAATTACTAGAAAGTTTGACAATACATGAGTGCGATAAGCTGACAGAGATTCAAGGACTTGGAAATCTAGTATCGCTGGCAAGTTTTTGTATGCTTAGGTGCTTTAAAATAGTTGAACTTGATCTGCGCGAATGTTTGGCACCTCTAGCATCCTTAGATATGAGTGGGTACAAACAGCCTGAAAATAAACCAGATCGGTTCAACTTAAACAAGTTAAAAAGATTTGAAGTTGCTACTTGCTGGGATCTCAATAAAATCGAAGGACTACATTTATTGGTATCATTGGAATGTTTGTATTTGTCGGGTTGCTGGGATCTATCAAACTTGAAAATGTTGCACCCTGAAAATAAATCAGATCGGTCCAACTTAAACAAGTTAAAAAAATTTGAAGTTATTGCTTGCGAGAATCTCAATAAGATCGAAGGACTACATATATTGGTATCATTGGAATATTTGAATTTGTCGTATTGCTCATCCATGGTAAGAATGCCGAATCTATCAAACTTGAAAATGTTGAGACACTTGCGGCTCTATAAGTGCATGAGCTTACGTGAGATTGAGGGCCTTGAGGCTTTGGAAGCCTTGGAGGAACTGGACATCAGGTGGTGGTCATCGCTGGAAAAAGTACTGCATCTGCCAAACACACATATTATTTCTGGTGATTATGATGAAGATTCTGATGATTCTGATGAAGATTTCCATTGAGCCTGGTTTGGTTCCCCTTCTTGTTCGACAGATTGTATGCAGTAGCATGTTTTTCCACTGCTCAGATTATTCCATCATTGTGGCTTTCCTTTCCTTGATTACTTGCTCATTATCTTTTCTTTTTATTTATCAATTCAGGTTCTCATATAGGAAATTAAGTTGGGTGGAATAATCAAACATTGGTGAAGAGCATAGTATCAAAAGAATACTCCTAGTAAGAAAGGGTAAATGCTCTCTCTCTCTCTCTGTCATGAGTGAACAATCAATAATATTATTCTAGCTGTAATTTGTTTCTTATCCTCTCCTCCTCATTGTTTTCAGTACTCTATTGGTATGTCCCTGTTCATATATGGTTTGAGAATGAAGCTTAATGATGGCTTTGCTTTCATTGGTGATAAAGGTGAGCTTCTTTCTTGTATTGCAGATCAGAAATTAACGGAGTCTGAAGCAGGTTTAATTACTAATTTGCACTCTTCATCCATGTTCATTTTTTGCTCAACTTAAATCTAATTTGTAACTTCACTTTTTATCGTATCTCCAGACAAGTGAGGTGAGGACGTACAAAAAGAGGTATAAGGTGAATCCACAAGCATTATGAAAGAAATGGTAGCTTACATTATGGAACACGGATGGCAACAAGCTTGTCAAAAGGGCTGTGAAGAATAATTTTCAGATGTTTGTGATCAGTTGCACAAAAATAACTATTGTAGTTAGACAGAGAGGTTTGATGCATCACTTTTTGATTAATTAAATTCGTACATTTGCCTCATGTTCATTCCATTCATTAAAGCAAATAGTCAGATCTGCTAAGTTTGTGAAGAGTATATATTCAATCCAATGCATCGTATCACAACATCTAATCTTGCCATGCACATGGCTTCTTTATAATTGATACTAATGGGATTACAAATTCCATTAAAAAAAAAAACGAAGAGGACCCATTTACTTGATAATGCCAATTTGATTACAAATTCTATCAATGGTATCATCCTACGAATTATAAATTATAGAAAAAAATATAAATGACATTAAAATAGATCAGACGGGTGAGTTTGGATTGATTTGAAGAGAAATACATTTGAAGAGAAATACAAAAAGAGGAAGAAGAAATATATCTAGTAGATGATCCGAAGACTTCCACTGGCAGTGATGGCCTATCAAACGGCGTTGATAACAATGTTAATTGTCACATTAAAGATATTATTTTTAAATATTTTATTATTTTTATTATTATGATGATGTGGCAAAATATATATCATAGATTGAATAGAATTAAAACTTGTCATTACATGATGAATTTAACTTAGAATAATTTAGAAGAATTTTAACTTAGAGATCCTAGTCCTTTGAATATAACAAGGTGTTTCTTGCCCTTTATCTTTTAAAAAAATTATAAATCAATAAATAATATTAATACTATTTACCTAAAAACAGAATGATTTGCTTAAAAATAACTAACTATAAAGAAAATAAAAAAGAGAATAATGTAAATCCCTATTTATGGTTGGACAATTCAGAAGAGAAAACTAACGAAACTCAAGTAACCATCATTCATTGTATTTGAGAAAGATAGTAGAGAGAAACAATAAATTAAAGTATTTTTATTCTGCGAATTGTGTGAAGAAATCAATTATTCAATTGTTTAAAATCACTCTCCTATATTTTCCTATGTTCCATTCTAATTCTAAACAACCAAAACAAAACAAAAAAAAAAAAAAAAAAAAAAAAAATGATTGTCAAAGAGAATATCCTAAAATGAAACATTGAACAAAATTGAACTTGCACCCCATCCCAAATGTACCATTTAGCTCATCCTATACTACATTAAATAGAGAATGGAATACCTTTGCATCATTGTTGTGTCCCCAATTTAATGAAATTGGGCGCCTAATTTAATGTTTGTGATATTGTTGTATCCCCAATTTAAGGATTAGGATGTTCAGGAAATAAATGAATTAGAAGTTAAATTCAGTAACAAAGCTTAAGATGGCAGAATTTACTTGAATGCCGTTTAGTTACAATACAAGTAGGCATTACCCAATCTCTTACCTAACCTTTTGCAATATTTTGTATTAAACAGAAAGAAAAATAGTGATAAGAAATCAAGGTCATAAAACAGATTTTTAGTGAACCACTAAGCTCAATAGATGCCAGGACCAATCTCTCCTGAACTATAAGTTGAAGTTCCTTGCTCTAATGTCACAAAAAGTTTCCTGCTAAACAGTAGTGTGAAACTCAGAAAAACAAGCTGGTTATTCATAATAATGCAACTATATCATGTCTTGATAATTGGTCACAAAACTCTCCACAAGATTAAGGATGCCCACACACACTATCATACCTTTCTAGTGGATAGACGCAGGTAATGCCACTAAGCTCAATAGACGCAGATAAATCCCCTGAAACAGGCACCATGCATATGATCAAATGAAATTAACATGGTGAGCCTTGCATTACTTAACAAGGCAACCGACAAGTCTTCCATAACACCCATCAAAGCACAAGCTCTCTGAAGAAGTCAAATATTTTTATGATTAGTTAATAAACTCAAATAATCAACCTGGAAGCTTTTGCAAGTGGAGTTCAACCAACATGTAAAGCATGCCAACCATTAGTACCTTAAAGCTCTCTGTACAATATACCATGCGGTGAAAGCACAGAACAGGAACAAAAGTACAACAACTCGTATGAGTGAGTGCAAAAAAAAGGACCAGTAGTTCATAAGATTAGGAGGAAACAAACTGAATTGTCCATGCATCATCATACAAGAACAACAAAATGATGCTTAAATTGTACAAATTGAAGTAAATCAATCTTAAGCATAAAAATCAAATGTCTACCATGGTTTTTTGAAGGGGGAAAAAAAAGAAGAATCACTAATAGGACTTTGCAATCCTTCAATTGATGCCGTTCTTCCAGAACTAATGGATGCTAGGGGAACTTCTCCTGAGCTGTATTTAGTACTGCCACTGCCACTACCCCATACAACTACCATATTGGCTCCACATGGTGATTTTCTATGGACTAGTAATACATGATAGTGAAGCTGTTCTTAAATTCCACAAATATTACAACCATTCATGTTCTTAAATTAAAGGGAAACCCTTGAAATTGTATCTTGCCTTGACTTGCCTCGATGACTTCAGGAATCACATTCTGATACTTGCTCATAAACTTGCCCACAAACATCTTTTCAGTCATTTTGAGTGCATATATTAAGCTCAGGTCTTCCTCAATCAGATTTTTCGACATCAAAAGCTGTAGAACAGTACACCATCCTCTTCTCCATGCTAAATAGCAAAAGTATTTGATTTCCTGATCTTCTCCTTTGAAGCAGTCATACACAGTGGTTTTAACTTGAATGCTGCAATAATGTCCACTTCTGACAAACCAAAACTAGAATAAACTCCCAATTTTTGCTCCCCGGGTGATTTGCTCATCATTGATTCATTGCCATTGAATGCATCGCTGACATGAATAGCAAATTTGTGGGATCAAAACCCATTTTTTCAACATCGCTGACCACCTTACTAAACTGATCACTTTTTAAAAGTAGGGACTTTGGTTTATTCATAAACCATTTTAGGACTAATGACTTGGGTACACAATGATTCAACAAGATTGCAATATTTGGTTCCAACACCTTCTCTTCTCCAACTTAAATTCAAGTATTCCATAGCACGCTTTGATTGCTTTCAAGACATCTAATGACTCGAACAGCAGGTATGATTTGGTTCTCAAGGCTTCTTCCAAGGACATAAGGTACAGATGACAATAACTGTGCAATTTCTGCTTCTGAAAAGCCCAAAGATTTGAAATATTCCAACTTCGGCTTAAAGGTTTTTTTGACAAAAAAAATCATTTAGTCAAAGTTGGAATATTTCAAATCTTTATTTTTTCTGCTGCTGCTGATAAAATAAAAAATAAAATTACTGAAGCACGCTCAGATCAGAAGCAGCAATTGAAACACAAAAGCATCCAACACTGCCAAATGACTTCACAATGTGCTGTGCTTATTCATGATAAAAGGCACCATCTTCTGGAGCAGCAAACACACAAGTGCTTATTCAACATAGATAACATACTCAACAAACAAGTGTTTATATAAAATACCAGGAAGGTGGAACTAATTCAAAAGATAATAGTAGTATCTTTATAGTCTTTCTTTATTGCCCACCTCCGTAGCTTATATTAGAAAATTAACAAAAAAATCAAATACTTCACATTAAATAATAAAATAAATATCTGGATAAACTTTTATGTCTATATTCAAATAAAAAGATAGCTAGAAGCTATCTCTTTAAAAGAGAAAACTTTCTAGCTATCTCTTTCAAAGAGAGAGAGCATGGACATCCCATATTTCTCTTTGGCTTCCTTATCCAAAGGATCCTCTCCCAAATATATGGAGATATAAGACCTGCACAGTAGTTCACTTTCAACCTTGCTCACCACCTCACCCATAACTGCACTCACAAAGAACAACTTTTTTGGTTAAATTCAATACTGGCCAAATGCATAGCATGTAAATTCTCACATCCCAAGGCCAAGGACTTGCTTGATGGAATGCTGATCTAGTGATCTATAGGGATTAAAAAAGGGTATCAGATTCTGTATTTGCATAGTACTCTACAATTTCTCTATGTTGCACTCATTGACACATCAGTATTACAGTTTTTTCTAAGTTCCAGATGAAAAGGGGGACCCTAGATCACCCATGTCATGTATAAATCTCCCATTGCCTAGTAGATGAGGGTACCGGGGCTTTAATTATATCGTAAGATGGCACCTAAGGAAGATAAAAATACCTACCATTGAGTTCTGATTTAGAATAAGCTCATTGTCTCACAATAGATGAAATGGGCTTTATTTATGATACAATACTCAGTCCTCTTGGCATCGCTTGTCCCCAGCTTCGGAACCAATAATAATATAAAAAAGGGTTAATTACATTCACACCCCTCGAGGTTTGCCATATTGACAGCCATATATAAGTTGGGCCTTTTTTGAACAATGACACCCCCTTTCATAAATTGAATCCAAACAACCCCTTAAAAGATGTGAAAAGTCAATATTACCCTTCAATATTTTATTAATTTAAATTGTAAAATATCAAAAATATTAAATGACATTTTTGCCCTTAGTTAACCATCTCCATCAGAAACCTAACCCTACTATCTCTACTTTCTCTCTCTAACACTCAGCTTCTCTTTATTGAAATATATATATATTCAGAACTCAAACACCATAACATACCCATACACCACCACCACCACCACCAAACCACCACCACTAAAATAGAAAAATAGAGGTAACAAATAACAACCATGGCAGCTCTAACACTAACAAACCCACCACCAAACCCACGGCCCCTCCCTCAAACCTACCACCAAATCCTTAGCCCTCTCCACCCCTAAATCCCTTACCACAGTTGCTGCCACGACCACCAAAAAAATCGTCACCTTGAACTGTCTGATCTGGTCGCAGTGTCGAGGTCGTTGCCGAAGATAGAGACGAGACCCATCCATGTGATTTTCGGATCCTTCTCGAGCTTGGAGAGAAGGTTGTGATGGTGTCGGCACCGCCTTCCCGTGGCCACCGTCTGAAGTATAGGCATACAGATAAAACCATCACTGAAATCCTTCCACACTGCGCAATTGAAATTTCACCAACAATTGATTTGGTGGTATTCACTGAATATATATATATATATATATGCGAGAATTTAGTTAATACATGGTGCAGCATACATTCCATCACTGCCAAGGTGTACCATACGTTCCATTGTTGCAATATAAACGACTGATTAGAGGCTAATTGATGGGTTTTAACTTCAATTTATATATATATATATTATACAAGGTTAGAAATGTAATTTCATTATTCAAATTAGTCAATTTTTAAGTCAAAGGTAATAATGTCAATTCATTAGGTGTCAGATGTGGCAAGTGACTCATGGGATATCTTTGTTAACTTTATCAAACTTAAGGGAATGTCATTGTTTAAAAAAATCCCAACTTATATATGGCTGTCAATATGACAAACCTCAGAGGGTGTCGGTGTAATTAATCCTATAAAAAAATAAATAAATGAATAAATAACTTATGAATGTCATAATTGCCTTCTTTTTAAAGCAATTTTAATAAAAAGATCTTATTAAATGAACATAACCCATAAGAAACAAATATGACAGCCACAGCCACCTACCGCTTCCACCCTAACCACGGCCACCTCCTCCCACCATGGGCACCGTCCATTGCCAATTTTCCATCATCACAACCATCTCTCTCGTCTCCCTCTTCTTCCCTCTCTCCATTCTCTCTCTCCTCTCCACCTCCTACACCCGCCACCCACAAAGTATGCTGCCTAACTCCTCCACCATCAATCCCTTATTACACCATTTGGTTCTCTAGTCATTACTTATTTCTTTCTTTTATTTGAGGCTTTTTGTAATCCCAGTTATGTAAAAGGGTTAAATCACTTCAAGCATGACGAGGTTCCCAATTAGAGTCGATGAAACCATGTATTCAACTTACCAAACAATGAACATTATTATAAGTGCAACTAAAAAAATCATTCCAGGAAAAAGGTAATAGTCCCCCACTTTTGATTGTATTCTATACTGATTGAACAACAAGAAGATAACTTTTCATGATTATACATTATTAAGTACATGGACAATTCACAACTAAAAACATCATTCCAGAAAAAGGTACTAGTCCTCATGCTCTGTTATAAATGAGGTGTTGGAAGAAATTTTTTGATATAGAATTAAATTTTGACATTGTTTTGACTGTGACGGTTATAAATCAAATTCTATAGATTTGATATGTAATATTTGAGAGTTATTATTACTATTATTGTTGTTAATAAGAAATGAAATTTTAGCCTAGAAAGGTACCAAAAATTAAGCCTAGGTAAGAAATTTTTTGATATAGAACTAAATTTTGACATTGTTTTGATTGTGAAGGTTATAAATAAAATTCTGTACATTTGATATGTAATATTTAAGAGTTATTATTACTATTATTGTTGTTAATAAGAAATGAAATTTTAGCCTAGAAAGGTACCAAAAATTAAGCCTATGTTTCACGATCTCGCTTGTGTAATAAGAATGTTAATGAGAACAATTTTATTCCTTAACAAAATTCCAATCAGATTCACGTGGTTTTATATTACTCGTTATTAGTGTTCAACAATTTAAAGTAGAATTCAAGGAGTTCTGGATCAACATACATCCCAATCAATTCATCACCCTTAAGCCCTCTTTTATTAACAACCCAAGGCCAACCACCACTAAGAAAGCCAATCAACAAATCAACAGTGAAATCGAATTGAAGACTGAAAAATACATATATATACACACATGGAAATCAAATCAACACAAAACATATGCACAGAGAGATTGGTAATTTTTACCCAGAACAGAAGAGCATTCTGGATCGAAACGATGGAAATCTGGATCCCAAATACAAAGCCCTTGCCGGATTTTAGAATGAAATTGAATTTTTTTAAATCAGAAAGCATATATATACGAAGATATATATGCAAATATATAGATTTCATACCTGTTGCTTTCTTCTAGAGTTTCACTGTGACGGAGGAGTGGCGATAGTGTAAGCTAGTTTGAGGAGAGAGAGTGTGGTGTAGGAGGGCAGGGCTGAGGTCGAGATCGGGATGGTTGGAGCTCGTAAAATGATTTACGAAGGATTGATCGGTAACTTGATTTTGCTGGCTTTTAGGGAAAAAAATTTACTTTGTAGTAAAAGATTTTTCTCAATTTTGCGATATTATATAAAATAGAAAAAAAATCACATTGCTCTCTTTATAATTATTTTTGTTCAAAAAAATTCCCACTAAAATTAAACACTCTTAACTAAAAAAAACATGTCACCAAATTACCACATATTCGTAACCAAGGTTTATTAAATTGTGAAATAACAAAATTAACTTTATGATTTAATATTAAATTTAAAATCTTTTACTTTGTAGTATAAGATTTTCTTTAATTTTGAATAATCAAACATTAAAAAATATAAAAATATTTACCAAACAACAGAGCTTAAATAAAATTCAATTTGGACGCTTCGTGATTACTTATAAAGCTTTTTAGTGGAACCATAAGTTTTGAAAAGCCCAACAACTGCACGAGCATCAGTTTAAAGCAGATGTGGACGATATTTGAGCACTTTTGCAAGGTAGTGCAAGAAAGTCCTAAAAGATTCGAACAACAACAAAACTTTTCCAATTTTTCAGTAAACATATGGATGATGCACGCATCTAAATACTCAAATAACTTATTTTTTACAAGAATTCAGCATATAATGGAGCACTTTCAAAACGAGAATACAAAATTTTTAAATCGTTATTGTATTATTGATTTAATAGTATTGTAAGTTTGATTTAATATTGGGTGATGTTGGATCCTCAATTTAATTGCAATAAAAAAGAAAGTACACAAAAGTGTATTGAAGATGATTTAGATTTCCTGTTTTACTAGCTATTCAAAGAGTTTGGATACTTTGTATCGCAATCATGATAGAAAAACCGATTAGCAAGTGGAAGATGGTACATTTTAAAGCTATGACATTATGAAATTGTCAGTTTGATAATCATTTTATTTTATATTTTCAGTTGCCAAATCGATGAATAATAGAAATAAGTGATGAAAATACCTCTCACATATTATTATGATTTGTTACTTTTGCACAATACTGCTCTCTAAATAAAAAAATAAATAAAGCCTAAATTCCAAAAAAAAAAAGATTCCTAATTTATGGGATTTTTTATATGAAAAGAACAATGATGCTGAAGATAAGTAACACCTCACTACCCAAAGACAAAAATGGACATTAAAATTTTAAAGATGAAGAAATCTTCATCAAAATTAGTGATACTAATTTATGAAAATGAATCTAAAGGAGAACTAAAAACTCTATTATGACACTTTTACATTAAGGAAAACGAAAATAAACATGCCACTTGACAACATGAAAGAACCTCACATGTATAGGCTAATAGAATAAAAATAAAAATAAAAATAAAAGAAAAATTCTCATGCCTTGGCCAGATTGCAGTGAAAAAGAAAATAAATGATACTATTAGTTACGAGAGAAAAGGAAAAAAAAAAAAAAGAAATGAGAGATAATGTTAATTGCTTATCGTGTTTGGTTGACTAATGAATGAAAAAAAAAGGAAATGACACTAATCACGTTTGGAAAAAGATAGTTTGTTTGGCATTATAAAATTTTCATTAAAAATGCTACCATTTCCCTCTATTTCCTTCCATTTTTTGAAGGATAACAAAATAACTATTCAAGCTTTAAACATATTCCTCCATATCCTTCCATTTCCTCTCTTTTCCTTCTAAAAATTTATACCTAACACAAAACTCCATATCCCTCCATTTCCTTTCTTTTCATTTCCTTCCATTTCTTCCCAACCAAACTGGCCCTTAGAAGAGAAGTAGTCAATAAATGGAGGGGAAAGATTACGGTGCAAAACATAGAAAGAGACGAACACAATAAAACAGAAATATACTTCCAAGTACCACTAAAGATTGGCAAGGGATAGTGCCAGAACATAACAAGCAGAGGTATCTTTCTAAAAAGAATGCAAAAATATTAAGGAAGCTCCTTACTACAGTTGCCAATTTCTGGAGGAATTTCTCATGTGAATCAACTTTTTGACAATTCAAGGAAGCTCAAACTATGCAAGAGCCCAATTTTTGATGGAATTTGGCCAGTAAACAAGTTTGATCCCAACCGTAAACGAATCAAACTCTGTGTAATTGCCAAATTCAGGTGGAATTCTGGTGTGTCTCCCGGTGTGGGGCCAAATTTGTGTGCAAAATAGTGTGATCAAGTTTTACATTTATAAATACCACTATTACCGCTAATTAAAAATATAACAAGGGTGATCGAGTAGGGATCGTCCCAAGGGATTGGTGGGTCGTATTAGGTTGTGGAATCGAGATTAGGGTTAGTAGGTCGAGTGATCAAAAGATTGGTTGGTGGTTGAATTACACTAAGATGCAATTTAGACTAAAGCAAACAATTAAATGCAATAGAGGGAAAATAAAATAGAGAGATCTTGGGGTTTAGAGATCACCACTAAATATAGCTTTTCTACACCCTTAATAAATGATTAATGAGGGGGAAAACATGTATTGCAATAATGGTGTATGTGTGTGGTTGTTTCAACAAGTATAGATGACCAATTAAGTATATATTGTCTAAACAACACAATGAGTAGCACAATATATCAAACTAAGCCATTAATTCCTCTTTAAGCTCACAATCCAAACACATCACAAAATTAGAGAAAAATGCCACTTGCATTCATAAGTATGGGACATCAAATAACAAGCATGAATTGTCCTCCCATTTAACATCTAAACTACAACTACACTACAATTAAGTTAATGACATGAAATTAAACTAATTAAACTAAGGAAGAGGCACAATCCATCAAGAAATGAGTATGAACCATTAAATAAAACTACAAGAGCATTCTATTAAGCACTATGTCTTGACAATCTCTAGATCTATAACATCAATACACATAGACATGCATCAAGAACACAAAATCTAGAGACAAACACATGAACATCTATTCTAGCATACATACATAGACATATGGATAGAATGAAATGAACAATTGGAAGCATTAAACCACACAAATCATTGAATAAACAAGATCTATGTATATAAATAATGTCAAAAATGTATCACAATACAAATTCCCTCAAAAATACATAAATCAAGATGTAGAAAGCATGCTTAGGGCTAACTCTAGCCCCAAGAGGATGTCTAGCCACTCATGGATGGTGTTCTTCAACCCTCAAGGGCTAACTCCATGGTGGAGATTGCACCTCTTCTTGGTTGATGGAAAAACTCCAAGCTTGTGTCTCTAACCTCCTCTCTTCTTTTATTCCTCACTAAGAATATGGAAATTGTCTCAAGAGTCAAGTGTGTAGCCTTTTTTTTTTTTGTAAAAGTGGCTCATATTCCTTCTATAGGTAGGTCAAATGGCACCCCCAAATATCTAGGCTCGTGCTCTAAGATTCCTCCCCAATGATTGGATATGAGACAACTTTTAATGAGCTGGAAATTGCATTTTCTCGAATTTGGAGAAGTTCGATCGATCGAACTTGTGGTGAGATCGATCGAACATGGCAGAGATCTATCGAACTTAAGTTGAATCGATCCTCTATGGCGGCCCCTTTTTGGATAAAGATAAATCTGATATATTTTGGTGATATTTTTGGGAAAGAGACAAAAGTGGTAGGTGGGGTTGTACAACTGGATAAGATGGAATCTCTTCGATCGATCTGAAGAAAGTTGGATCGATCGAGCTTTGCGGGATCTTTGGATAAGGACAGAATAGCTCAGATTCATCTTGAAGTGCTAAGATCGATCGAACATGTACTGAGATCGATCGAACTTGCTGAATTTGAACCACTTGCTTCCTTTTGCTTCCACTTTGCTCCTTTCTTTGATTCATCTCATTGCTTCAATTATGCTCTTATTTAGCTGAGTTAGCTTATTTTGGGGATAAATACCTGAAAAGGATAATAACATGAAATTAGTCTAAAGCGGGAAAATAAGATAGATAAAGGTTCTAGAATGTTCAAGCTTAAGGGGTTTAAATGCGCACTTTTCAGCACTCATCACATCCCCAAACTTAAATATTGATAGTCCTTAGCAATGAACTACAAAGTAAAGGAATGAAATGAACAACTATACAACTATGAATCTAGAAAGCAATAAATGGATAACGCCACTTTCGTAGGGAACACGATTGCATTTAGCATATGCAACAAGCCTTTTAAACCCCTAGGTTACCCCTAATGGACGAGTGAAGTCTCGTGAGGGTTTCCAGAAATGATACCCACAAACATTAAGCTCATTCTCACTAAAGAGGCACCAATATTGCAAACAAGCATTGGGAGAAAACTACCTCAAGTATGCAATTTTTCAAACATTTTCAAGCAATCTCCCAAAATTTCAACATCAAGCAAGCAAGTATGGTCCTCCACACATCAAGAAAATGATCATGCAAATCAAAATAACACTAGAATCCTTTTTGAGTGGACCAGCATCAAATATGTTGCTATCTAAGCCAACTAAAGAAATGATCACATCATTACCCTCAAACTAGCACACAAATCTAGTACCGATCATCAAAACAAAGAGTGGACCTTTTATAAAAACTTTATTGTTGTAGGTGCACTTATTCTTTTCACTTGATTTTTTTTTTTTTTTTTCACTATCCTAAGGATCAAAGATGGAAGCATAGTGCAATATAGTGATCTATTAAGCTTTCTAGCGATTCATGAGGTCGAGCGTTAGGTCAATGACTCCCAAACCAAACGGCTTTAGGGCATTAGGCGTTCAAACACCCCTACGGACTTACAAGCTCAAATCAACTAGGCTACAAATCAAAACAACCTCCATCTAATCATTTCCCACTTCTCACCTTTTGGGAGAAGTTTTCACTTTTTTATTACTTTTGAAACTTTTTTTTTTTTTTTTTAAGTTCAATTATTAACCTAGAGTTTGGGCCCTCTACCTTTCGGCGTGGGAAATTCAGTGCTTGATGAGGCTAGAATCCCGGCTACTTAGTGAAAAGGGGTTGTTATCCACCTTTATCAAGAATGAAAACTTTCAATGCACTACTAGCTTAATTAGGATATAACCAATTCA